ACAGAAGATAGTTAAAGATTATATATGTAACATAAGTGTCCCAGCGTTTGCCTAAATGATCTAAGTAAACCATAGAAAAACTTGGATCAGTGCAGATGAACTCGGAATCGAACCTGTGTTTTCCCGAATTCTAAGCAATGGTCTAAACCATTGACATATAATAATGGACGTGCCTTAGCCGTATGTCGTTGTGATAATTTCTCGGCACAGGGCGTCTTAACAACGACACTTTCATGAGAGAGATAGATATTGTCCGAAACTTCACTCCATCTCTTTTTTTTAGCATACCACAATTCTGACCACTAGGACACGTCCAGTGATGTTGCGTATAGTAGAGCTCTCTAGTAGCTTTCAATGTAGGTATCCAACAGCATTGTATAGTAACTGGGTATCATCAAACAGAATTAGGTGATCGCCTTCTCCGAATGTGTGCTCTGCTGATTTTTGTGTTCAGCCCAACCGACAATTTCTTTTGTGCTCTGATATTTTCGTATTAATAGATCTTTCTGTGTTTCCGATGTAAACTTTGCCACAGCTACAGGGTATTTGATAGATCTGTGAAGATGGTCGAAAATCCTTATTATCTTTCGTAGATATAAGGGCCTCCTTATTCTTTGTGGTAAGAATATAAATCGGTTTAGTCAAATGGATTTCTAACACTGCCTGTTTTGTCCATGATACCTTTTAGATATGGTAAAAAAGCCTTTTTTGCTGGGGGATTTTTATTTTCATTTGGGTATCCTGTCAGAGCACGTTTTAGAGGGCCGTTTTATTTCCGTAAAGCTATAACTACTATTCTCCTCAAGCGCTGCTGTAGGTATTCTAATTCCTCTGTTAAGAATTTTGGTTCGCAAATTAGCCTAGCGCAGTTAATCAGTTTAGTGATCACTTCCATTTCTTGTTTTGGATGGTCGTTGGACGGTTTGCGTAGGTATTTGTCGGAGCATGTGGTGTTTCTAAATACCCTGTGCCCTAGTCTGCTATTTTTCCAAGTAACCAAAAAATGGAGGAGAACCTTCCTGTTCTTTTTCCAATGTGAACTTTATTTTGCTGTTCCGGTTGTTTAAATAGTTTAGAAATTGCCTTGGTATAAAGATGTAGTGAAACCGCGAACACATCGTCGATATATCTGAACTAGTATTTAGATTTTTCTTGCGGAGTTTAAAGCAGTGCGTTCTCAAAATTTTCTATGTAGAAGTTTGCTACCACTGGGCTTAAGGGGTTTCCCATGACAACCTCGTCTGTTTAATCGTAGAATTCCCCATTCCATAATAAATACGTTTATTTCAGACATTGACTGAACAACTTCGTTAATTCTTCCGGGAAGGGGTTCAAGATTAGAAATAATGCCTCGTTCACAGCCGTACTCTAAAAGGACAGCCAAGGGAAAAGACAGAATTCCCCATTAGGGAAAGGTTTCCTACAACCTGGAGGATAAAAATAACGACGCATCTCAGATCAAAGGACAGCAGCGATCTACAAAAACAATCATAGAATAAAGCTCACAGCGATATTAGAACAATCTTTTTCAAGAAATACGTGGGCCATGGGTGTAGACGATGGATATGTGGTTCCGAAAAAAACAAGGAAAATCACTTACAACGAAAGAACGGTCACGATGCACCGAAAACCGATGAGCCTAAAATTCTCCGGTTGCCTTTCAGTACTTGTAGAACTGAACCAACATGTATAAAAAAAAAAATTCGAACAAATCACACAAATTTCGACAACGCTACTAGGAAGGAGTGAGGAACCACCCATTCACTGAAGATGATCGTAACAGGCTAATCGCCCTGCTCGACAAAGGGACGTATGTACACGAGCGCCTACAACCTTCCCATCAAGTACTTGATAAACATATGACGTCTTTTCAGGCGACTTAGAAGGGAGAGGACTAAACGCAGTAGCAGTTCACCGAACGAAAAACCAATCAAAGAAAATATCGCTTGTACTGTTGGTAGCACCCAAGAAGTTAGAAGATAGAAAGAAGGTAGAAATCTAAAAGATCAGAAACATTCTGCCAGCTGCGGATCAAACTAGAAAAATACCGCCAACAACGGCGACAATCGGAATGCCATCTTTACCAAAGCATGGAACATGTCCAGCGGAACTGCAGGATGCAATGGACAACACTCCACACCGACCGCCTACGAAACTCAAGAGAAACTATTCGACGATGGGTCTGCACCTAAAGGCTAAAAGATGAGACCACCAAGCAACAGAATCGAGGACGATCTTTGATTAACTCGACCTTTTCAATTAATTCGGCAATAATAGACTTAAACAATGAACTAAAAGGTATCAAGATATCAGACAAACTACTACACCACCTACTTGACGAGATATAATACGCGCTGTTATTTCTTCTACGAAAGTAACCGAAACACCAAAAATATCATCACATGACTGAAGAAGACTTGAGGGGAACAGGTTTTAGTATGTAGGCTCGAGGACACTTTTCTTGTAAATCCGACATTACTCAGTCGTATGGACGGCTGGGTGTCTTCCGAAAATTTCCTTTCCTCCGCTAAAATAAAAAAAAAAGACACCGGCACTTATCTTCAAGAGAACTTTGACTGAGACTACTACCACGCCAGCCTTGATAATATCTGCCGCAGTTGCAGGCGAAACGTCGGCTAGAAATTTCCATTGACAACGGCTAGAAAACCCGAGCTTAACAACGCACAGAATAAACCACGGCCGCGAAAACCTACACACGATTAAAGTTCTCAATTTGTTGCATAATTGCAATAAGACTAAACAAGTTGAAAAAAACGTTAGTTGGCTTTGGACGGATATTTAAACAAAAAGTATTTCAATATATTTTTGTAAAATCAGTCCAATTTTTACCTAGTAATTCAAGGATTGGTATAGGTCTAGATGATGGCCCTTCGAGGTTGGGGTGGGGGGGGATTGAAAGAGGAGGTCTCCCCCACCACTGTACGATAAAAAGTTAGTGACGGTGTCACCCCCATAAAAAGTTATGGGGTTAATAAATATGCCAATTGTTATAGATTTCTAGGCATGTAAATATTTATATAGTCCTTCTTAAACAATATTCAAAGGTAAAACTAATGAAAAATACAATAAAATTATTGAGAAAGTTATATAAAACATTATTTAAATATCTTTATAAATAGGTTAGGTTAGGTTATGTTATCGGGTTTTGTTCAAGTGACCACCCTTTTTCGATCCCCCATCTCCACCCGCTTGAAAATAATTATTTTATTGAATTTTATTTGAATTATAGTGTTTAAAAATTGTCAAAATAATCAACTTTTAACCCCCATAACTTTTTATGGGGGCGAGATCGCCGCAAATTGTTTTTGGGGTTTTACTCAGGTGATCACCCTCTTTCGATCCCCTCCATCCCCTTCTGGGGTGGAGGCCATCATCTAGACTTTTACCCAAGGATTTTAAAAAGGGAAATTTATTTAATATTATTAAACAGTATTTGTTGTCTGTGTTTCTGAAGATTTATCATGTTAATACGTATATGTATATGTCTATGTAAGTTAGCTTTAGTACCTAAATTGTTTTGTGGATAATGATCCATTATGGACAGATTTTCGCAAACAATAAATTTTACAAAATTTTGAGAGTACAGTAATTCCATTGTAATTATGTATGTACATATATGTAATGCGTATTTAAATCTATTTACGAAAATAAACAGTTATGCATAGGTACAATATTTATATTTAGTGAACTTGTTGTCAAGAATTTTGAAAAATGAGGTAATGCATTTTAAATGCCACTGATTCAGAAGGCTTTTGCGGACGTAATGTTAATTTGAACTAACTTCTTTTTAAGATTACATACTTAACCCTGCATGTAATGCTGGTAATACGAATACACAAGGTTCGTTAATAAAATAATGAAGAATAATGTGTTTTCACTGTACACTTTAGACTCTTAGAGCATATACTACTAAAAGTCGTTAGCTATGTATTCCTTTGAACAATGTTAGTGAAATTATTGGCTTAAATTAATTTTTCACGAATAATAATCAGCTAATCGCATGTAGAATGAGAGTGAAACAGAAGTTAGGTACACTCATGCTTTCTTTTTCTTCTTCGGCAGACGTAATACCTACTTTCTACACATAACATTTAACCATTAGTAGCATATGCTTTAAGCCAGAGCCGGGCAAACTCGGCTCTTTTGACTCCCGAGCGCTCCTCAGGTATAGCCAAGGAGCTCTTCATTGCTCCTGCGAGTGCGAGTGAGATGATTCTTTCCTTTTCTTATCCCTTCCATTTCGTAGGTGAGTCCCCTCTTCCATAACCGAACCCAATAGTATTACGAACGTAGTCCAGCATGCTACCCCTGAGCTGCAGGACGATCATTAGAAAATTTTCGTAGGTATTATTTAAGCTGCGAGAGAGGCTTCGCTCGTCAAAGCGATGAAGGGGCGGAAGGGAGAAGAAAAAGAGAAAGCAATATGGGTCATTACTGCTTACTCTCTCGTACTCATTGAAGGGTATGGAGTAACCCAAACTAACCTTAGGTAGCGGTCCCTACAAAGTTAATCTTTGCCCGACTCTGTTTTAAGTGCTGCAAATCTGTCATAATTTGACAAATGAACGATATGCTAATGGTTTCATTATTTTAATCGCAGACCTCGTATAGTATGCACTACAATAAATGAGCATCGGTTACTTATGTGACAATCACCCTGTTCAAAATCTAAAAATTATTATATTACTGTAGTTATATATATATATAACTTGTAAAAAGTCTATAGATAATAAACTCATATTCTTTTGTAACATTTTTCCTTGTTAATAACAACGTGTTCTTAAAAAATAATTGGCAGCGTAGCGAAAATAAAAACTAATGTTTAACAACGATCCCATATTCTAACAATAGGAATAATAATAAATAGAGCAATATTCGATTAGATTCATTTATTGAAGTCTATTGCACCGTGATTACAGATGTGTGAGACTAATCACTTCACATAAATTAAAGGATAAATAAAGAAAACATTTTTATACCTAAATATGCCTTCATTGTCTATCCTTGCCATCCTTACAATACTCAGAGAAAACATGGTCCTGTAAATTAAGAAAAAATATTTTAAATTAAGTTGTTTATTAGGTCTTAACGATAAACGATTTTATGATAAAATAAAAAAAAATAAATGAATAGATATAATTTTTCATCTTTTTGTGTGAATGGGTCTAGCGTCTAGCCAGTAAAGCATAAAAATGACACTGTCGTATATCATATATTTTTACAAGAATTTTTCTAGGATTAACTTCAATACATTAATGTGAATTAACTTTTACCACTTACAGATAACCTCAAATTAATGAGGAAAATTTGTTGCTGCTATCACGCCCTCGCCGGGATTCGAACCTCTTTACAGACCATCTTTAACAAAGAGACACGAGAGGTGACAGAACCATCGATTCAAAGATTAATTCAGTTTAATGTATTGAAATTAACGCTACAGAAATTCTTCTAAATGTCTCATTGTTGATAATGATTATACCTATGAAGTTAGATACGTACTGTCGTTGTTGCTGTTACCTCTCGTAGGTTAGTGGTAAAGCAATGATGTGTAATGCTAGGGACCCAGGTTCGATTCTCGGCGAGGGCGTGACAGAAACAACAATTTTTCCTCATTAATTTGAGGTTATCTATGACAAAAATTGATTCAAGACTTAATTAACTTTAATATATCATATACTAATTTTAGGGATAGAAAAAGTCACGTTATTGTTTTGGCGGCTATCTTCTACAACATCCCCGGGGACATACACCAATCAATAAAAAAGTAAAGAAGGTAAATAGGCGTCATTCATTGTTAGTGCAATTTTTACATGCTAAACCATCTACTCTTTCATTATAGACAAAAAAAAATGATTTTAAGTTGTAAATATATTAGATATACAAAAATTATTAACAATCAATTATTTAAAACCCTCGAGTTAGTATTGCTCACAGTCAAAGTGTTTGTCCTCAACTTTTAACGTAAGTTATCATTAAGATTTAGGGTGTACCTGCTCTTCACAAAGATTTTATCGTGTTGTGTGGTAGGCATCCAATTTATTGCCGCGTGCTCTAATTAATTACTGGTAAAGTTAATGCGGGGTGTAGATAAAGAAACTTGGAAACATTCCAAGGACACAAGAAGCCATTGAATAAAGAAGAAAGTTAAGAATAAGGTTTACATGATAAAAGTATCTACAATTATACATTCCTGTCGACAAAAAGATAAATTAAAGCATTCTGAATGACATTCAAATATGTCTATTGTCCATAGATGGGTCTTCGATCATAAAAAGTTTATTCCAAATTCAAAAAGCAACGAATCATTTATTACAAATGTCGAAGATTCTAAGAGTGTAGACGTTTAAACTTTAATTGGTCTTTTAAACTCAACTCTACTTACGCATATGATTGTGTAAACGGATCTTACATCGGATTTAAAATAAATAAGCTATGAATTGGAAATATTTCAATGGGTGGATGGAGGCAGGCTGGCCAATTAATGTTTTTAATTATTTTCACTATTATCAGTCTACTTTCCTACGTCAAATGTATCAAGCAGTGAACCATAGACTGCAATTGAGTACGTAGTCAAAAATAATTTTATCTGGTGCAAGAAACATGTATAAAATCAAAACTAAATTTATTTTTATGATATGGTAGGACACCTTCTCAGGCATGAAGGTCTGGTCAGAGACATATTAGAGGCAGAAACAGGAGTTAGGAGGGGTAGAGGTAGACCTAGGTTAGATTACTGTTCGCAAATAGTAAAGGATGTTGGTTGTTCTAGTTTTACGGAAATGCGAAGTTTAGTTCAGAATAGGAAAGAGTGGAGATACGTGTCCAACCAGTCTTAGGACTGACGACCTTATGATGATGATGGCTTGAAAAAGTAGAAAAAAATAACACTTAATTGAGTCGAAGTTTTCTAGTTTTTTTTTAGAAAATAGTTTTTCGAACCATTTCCACAGTAATTCCTTTCACAAATTCGTTCTCAATATGAAGACAAATGTTGGAGAACGTCTTTATCATTCTAACCTTCCTCATGTACGAATGTATATAACAACGAAGTGGTATTTCATATATTTTGCGATTCTATATACCAAGGTTTTTACTTTCACATACAGTACCAGTAAGTGAATGAAAACGAAAACAATAGACAGTTATCGCTCTTATGTATAATAATCACTTAAATTGAATCATTGCCTGGTGAGATCACAAAGGACAAGAATTGTAAGAAATCGCAAGTGTAAATAGCGTCATCTTAGGCAGTGATACAACCCTTGATAGTTTGTTAAGAACCCTTTGGGCAAGCTGATTCCAAGCGATCCTAGAAACTATGAGAGACAAGAAGCTGTATGAAACATTAGAAGCGACGTAGCGTACATATAGTAGATTCAGCACAACCACATATCGCAGTAGTCCTGGCCCATCACTCCTTCCACAGTCAATTCTCTAGCATACATGGTCCAACATTTGGTAGAAACGGTACAAAAACTTTACGAGATAAAGCAAAAGATGGCAAGTCCTTCTTGTTCCAGAATAAGCTCGAACTGGGTTAGTTTTTCCAAACAGCAGGAATATGTCAGATATGTCAAATGGTTTATGTTATTACCATTAGAAAGCCAAGACTCGCAAATTCACCTCGCTGTGTACAATTCAATCTAGAGAGTACACGGTAGATCACCAGTGACAACGCGTGATATCCGTCCCAGTCAACGACGCCTTTCCATTACGGATAGAATTATACGCCAGTAAATTCTGATCGGCTCGGTACTGATATCTGCGTCTATCCCAAGTTATTTATACCAAATTCTTAACTTAGGCCTACGTAGAATCTTTTTATGACGATTCATCATTCCAGATATCACAAAACCCCTCATTGTCACCGATTCCTTGGTATATATAAATGAATTAAACAATCAACGTCTTTTGGATTAGCCTCTCTTACCACCCCTGCTAAGGTAATAACTATCAATCGCAATCATCACGGATAACAAGTCCGGTACATCCACATGTGGATCTGTTAAAAAAAATCGGTTTACTGACGATAGTTCAACGTGACAACGTCATAAGAAAATACTGATGGAATGGTTTCATTTTTCAAAAGAAAATTTTAATTTTATTTGTTTGACAGATATATTATATTGTATGGATATAGAGAAGGAGGTAAATGGAAATGTATTATTGTATAGCAGCTGTCCACGCGGACGCATCGCTCAATCAAGTAGGAGAGAGACAGATGTCGAACGCTGCCGAACGCGGAGGCCGATTGTGCCTCTTTGTCGCTCGTTCCGCGCTCTCGCTTGCACTTCAAGCCTTAAATGGAACGCCTCAGAGCGAGGTAAC